ATGCAAGCCAGCGTTTTGGTCGCTTTACTAGCCTCAGCATTGCATTGCAGGCTCATGTTCATCTTGTGGTCAATGATGACCTCCAAGTCTCTTTCTCCCGTAGTGCTAGCCAATGTAACACTGCCGAGCCTATAAGGATGCTGCAGGTTTTTCCTCCCAGGGTGGAGAACCTTGCATTTTTCAGCATTAAACACCATCAGGTTCTCGTCCACCCATTTGCTGAGCCTGTCCAGGTCAGCCTGGATCACCTGCCTGTCATCTGGTGTGGATGCTTTGCCCCAAAGTTTGGTGTCATGGGCGAACTTGGCCAGTCCGCTTCTGACTCCAATGTCCAAATCATTAATGAAGATGTTGAAAAATATGGGTCCAAGGACAGAGCCTTGGGGGACCCCACTTGTCACAGGGCACCATGACGATTGATTTCTGTCAATTACCACACTCTGGGTCCAACCACAGAACCAATTTCCCAGACAGTGGATCGTGGTGGACCCAAGGCCACAATTGGCCAGTTTCACCAAGAGGTGATCATGGGATACCAGATTCAAGGCTTTTTTGAAGCCAAGATATATGACAGCAATCTCTTCTCCCTTGTCCAGGTGATAGGTCACCTGGTCATAAAAGGAAATGAGATTGTTCAAGCAAGACCTATCTGCAACCCATCATGAACATGTGGGAAGATATTTTTAACTGTTAAGAAGGCAGCCACAAGGTAATGATCAAAAAGGTATTGAGACAATTTCAGTGAAGAGCTGAGATATTGAATGTACTGGGAGTCTTATGTTCTCTGATGGCGAATCCAGGTTGTGGCTCATTGTATTTAACCATGAACATAGTTCATACCTAATTTGAGGTGGCAGGTGTTATAACAATTGGAAATAAGCATTCTGGCACTGGCAAAAACTAGAAAGATAAAGAGAAAGAAATGGAAGGTGCAAATTAGTGAAATTTGCATATCCAGAATAAGAGCACCATATTAAAAAATGAATTAGAATACCAGACGTTAACATCCTCTAATCTGAAAATTCACTAGCAAAACTTTTTCTTATTTTATAATCATATAACATAAATGTAAAATGTACTAACCACAATATACTTATCAGGTGGAATGAAACATGTTTTTGGAAAGGACGTTGGAGATGTTGCGGTGGGTGTTATAAGACTTATGCTTTTGGTTGTACTTTCTGGTGTTCTAACAGTAGTCCCTCGAGTTGAAGTTGTTGCTGAAGTAGTGACTGTGGTGGTTGACTTTGGAGTAATTGTTGCTGAAGTGATGTGGGGAGTTCTTGGAGGTATACTTGAAGTAATGGTTGGAGTTGATGGTGGAAGAGTTGTTGCTGAAGTGGTGGTGGCTGACTTGGAGGTAGTCGTGGCTGAAGTGGTGGTGGTGGAGGTTGGTGGAGGTGTACTTGCAGTAATGGTGGGAGTTGGTGTTGGAGGAGTTGTTGCTGAAGTGGTGGTGGCTGACTCTGAGGTAGTTGTGGCTGAAGTGGTAATGGCGGTGGGGATTGGTGGAGGCGTACTTGCAGTTATGGTGGTAGATGGTGTTGGAGGAGTTGATGAAGCTGTAGAAGAGCCACTTGTGAGAG